CCATCGTCGCTTGAAATATTGCAAATTGTTCTCAAAGCTTTAAGCAGTGAGTTCACAGTTGTCGAACGTGCTCGATCGAGGTTTATTTCGGAGTCTTCCGAATCGAAACGTGACTCTGACTCCAGTGACGAAAAAGAAATGATTCTGAAACAACACTTGGACGTCTTAGCCCCAAAATATATTTGAACGATTAGTTTTGTTTCCCATTTTCTCGAGCAAATACAGAGAGCTGACTAAGGCGCCATTGTGTTTGGTAGACGTCATCAGCAACCGCCGCCCCAGACTTCCTAAAACGCGGTCGCGTAACACTTCAAGCGCGACTTTGAAAGGGCATAGAAAATCGAGGATTCAACCAAATTCAAATTTTTTTTCGCCCAAATACTTCGAATAGCAAGTAGATTCGTTTTAGCGAAAAGAAAATTGGGAGGGGGGGTTACGTGCCCTTTAAATCTCCCCTCGGATGACTGAAGTCATTTTGGCGTGTGGCGAAAACAAAAAACAACTAAGTTAACAGAACAACCCGGTTTTATTATATACTCATCAAGTCCTTTCGTTTCACAAAATAAAAGGGCAAACTTTTTTCTGACCCGAAGTTCCACCGGACCGCTCTTACGCGGACTGCCACTTAACACAAACTTACCTTTGTATTGAGAGAGAATGGTTACCAAACTGCGATACTTTAAACCTTAAATCTTTGCATTTTTGATTTTTTTTTTTTTTTTTTTTTTTTTTTTTTTCATTTTGAAAAAAAAAGAAAACTTGCCGAGACCCGGGATTATTCAGAACTCATACGAGTGCTCCGGATTTGAATCAGGGACCTTCAGATCTTCAGTCTGACGCTCTCCCAACTGAGCTATCTCGGCAACAGATATATACAAAGCGATGACCCGACTTTTTTATTTGACACAGTTCACTTAGCACCATACTGAGTTCTCTGTAACATATGTGATGGTTATAATGCTAATGTGCTTTTAGTTAGACTCTACTTGAGACTGATACAATTAAGTTTTTAGTTAAAGCTTTTTCCTTATTCGGCAATAGCTAATCGTCGTCAATTTTTTGGAAACATTTATCATTTATTTTACCCCCCCCCCGATCTGGCTCAGTTTCAATTCATTTTCAAAACCAAGCTCAGTTAATTTGAAATGGTCGGTGATTTTGACCCTTCGTCTTTCGTGATCGTAAATGTCTCGGTTAGCGAGAGTTCATGATTCTTTCATACCGTGTTTATCACTTCTATCAGACGCTTTTCAATTCAGAGTGAAGTCAGAACAGTTACAACAACGCGCACAACTAAATACATCCTCGGAGACACACCCGAAAATATCGCATCCTCCCGACTAGCAGCCCCTGGGTCGCCTAGGGTGAACTAAATACAGCTCCATGGCTGATCTTCAGGGCCGTAGTCATGCATCATAAGGCACTTGCCTCAGTCATTTTTTAGTTCGCTTTTGCTGGTTTTCGTTTTGAAGGGGAAAGCAAAATATTGCAGTCATAATTTTTTTCTGGATTTAAACATGGAAACTGCCCCTGACATTATGTTTCTCTGGTTACCTCCCTGAATTCTTTAGTTTATTTTTTTCTTTTCCCCAAGTTGTTGTCAACGGCTTGACCAGGGCTCATCTCTATTTAAAATACTTCGCAGATGAGACTCTGAAAGTAAGCTTAATTCCCCTTAGATCGAGACAGTAAGGAACTACTTAGGCTAACAATCAGTTACATATATGATTGTTTCTATGTATCTTTTAGAGCTTATTAGTTTTTCTCGGACAATGCATCAAAGCACAATCAGTTACAAACTCATAGCTGTCTGTAGAGGCTAATAAAATTAAAATCGTGAAGTGTTCTTAAATAGACTGACTCTTTGTCACGTCCTTTGAGTCAACTTCGCCAATGTCTTTGTAAGCAAATAAAGCTGCTTTCTGTATAAGTTGAAATTCAAGAGCCGCTTTCCGTAAGTCAATGACTGTGAAGAGCCTCAGCTTTGGAACAAAAACAAAAATTGACCGTAATCTTTAGATTAATTAAATTAATTTGAGATCAGTAGATTTTGTGCTCTAAAATAATACAACAATAAACGAAAAGAAAGGCTGTATAATAAGAAAACCGGTTTATCACACCCTCTATTTTGAGTTACTAAAGTGAGAAAAGTTCTACACGTTTTTTACTAATTTGCCTTGCACTAATTGCTCTATTCTATGCACTGACAATGAAGGGCACGAAAGCCGACGAATCTATGACAGCAAAGAGCTTTTATCCCATCAAAACGAACCCCTTTAGAGAGGTGTTCGCTAATCGCAGTTTGCTTAGATTAATTAACCCTATTTAGTAATAGACTCCACGTGTCGATAAAAGCTTAAGATTGTCTACAGGAAATGGCAAAATTCCCAAATGGTATTTACATATGAATCAGCCAAACTACCTTTTGTTCTGTGGAGAATTTTAGTGAACTTGGATTTGACTGTGAAATAGCCTTCAACTGAGAAACAAGGGAGTTCTTACCTTGAACAAGACTTGTTTCTACCTCATTATTCGCGTGTGCGGAACGTTATATACCTTTGCGTTGTAGACCTTTGTGAAAAATTTTCTCATCAAATCCTATTTGGCGCAAAGCCACTTCGCATTGCTTTCTAAGTAAACACTTTCTTTTCAAGATTGAGAAAGGGATAAAAGATACATTAGTCGTTTTGTGGTGGGGGCGAAGGCGTAAATGTGTTTGCTGACTTGGGACGTGTTCTTCCGGACCCTCAATGCGTGGAAATTTTACTACGCACGAAAAACGAATTAAGCAAGAGAGAAATAATTCTTGCGTTTCATTGAGCTACCTAGCACTCCTTATTCGATACTACAGCATCAAATTGCGTTCAACCCTTATCAGCCCGTGAAATAAGCAGCTTATAGACCGACTCTTTAGTATAAACGGATGACGCCTTGAAAATAATGTCTTGGTTGCGTAAGCCATTTTGAAACCATTAATAAATTAACCAATTTGTGAGCGCGATGAGCTCAAAAAGGTTCTATAAAGGCAAAAATGGTGACCATTACAAAGTGTGTCAAGAACTGTAAAGAGAGAAAATCCACATGATTATTGTTTTATTATTAATGGTTTTATCGCGTGAGATAAGGGTTTGGAAGGCGCCGGATCTGCTTGTGTCGATTTATTATGCTGCAAACAATTGAAATAATACTTTACAACCAAAACATGGACTTCCAAATAAATAGAGTATTTCTTTCCGTGAAAGACCGGAGTCGATTCTTGGGTGGTCTTATGCTTGCGTGGACAACCCCATGGGGTAAATATCAAAAGATATTTTACCCCGTGTTTACGTGGGAACGCACACGGCTGTCTTGAAGATAATGACCAAACACAACTTTTCGCCACACTTAAACTAGTAACTCCATTTTGTTTCTTTTAGTTTCTCGCTTGCTCTTTAGCGGAGTGAAATAAGATCCCACCTTGTGCCAGCTGCCACATTAGCGAGGCCTCAGAAATCAATTTGCGCCAATTATTTCAAATTACCATGCCAAAGAATCCGCAAATGCGCAGGACTCGCTCAGAGTGGTTTGACGAACAGCCATCTATCGGCGCGTGGTTCGCGCACGAGTTGATACTCTTCTGCCGATAAACGAAACTCAATTTTGTCGGTTTTTCGAAAATCAACTGTCGAGTCAGTTTGCAAACACATATGGTGTGGAACCTTAAAAGCAAAATAAATTTCCAGACTCTTTTTAATGGGACCGGATTTGTTTTACCGTTGTGGTTTTTATCGCTGAAATTACTTTAAGCGATTTATAGAACGGCAATTAATGCGTTTCCGAGGCAGGCAACAAATTTCGAACAATCCAAAGTTGTTTAATGGCCTCCGAGAAAATTCATGGCTCGCGTTTGCCTTCAGAAACAAGAAGCTAGTTTTAAGAGTTCCAGACTAAGATGCTTCATCGACTTGGGTCTACGAGCGTCGAGGCGGAAAATGACCGTAGACTTACAAGTGCCAATTGACTGACAATTACTTAATGTTCCTTCGATAAATACATTGGCGCGGCATTATTTGAAATGTGAATGAGTCTATCCACAATACATAAATATGAAATAAGTAACCGCCAACTCATTTTACTCATAAATGGCTTGCATTGTGTTGAGTAACAAAATAAATTTGTTTGTGTCAAACTCGAAATCAGAAGTGAATAGCACGCACTTGTTATTATATTGCATCGTGTTTATAACTCCTGTCTTGGTGCTCCGGGTGAGTCGAGCACTTTCGTGCCTTTGTTTTCCGCCCCGAAAAAGCCAAATTAGCTGTACATATTTAATGGAGTGAAACAATAGCTAATGGTGTTCTGTTATTTATCCGGACTGCTAAAACCATTTGTCAATTTCCCTTTTATCTACGTTAGGCGGAGAGTACACTCGCCGACAAAGGAAATGACTTATCTTGACTTTTCTGTATTTTGTGTTTTAATAGTTAATTGAATTCCACCTTCGATTATCTTAAGATAATGATTACTAATTGACACCCTTTCGAGTAATGATATAAACTAATTGTGTAATGATCACCGTTAATTTAACTGTACAAGGAGGGACAAATCCAATGGAATTAACTCTTGTCCAGTTGTGCAGTGACTTGTATCATTTTTAAGTCGTTTGCTTTTAGCTTTTCCAGTGAACGGCTTCATGCGCAGCTTCTGGTATCAACTTAATAAGCTCCGAATGCGTATTCAAACAAGGAAAGCCCTCCAACTGTCAATCAGCTAATCGACGTTCTGTAGCCGTAACAAAGGACACAAATAACTTAGCCATCTGCTTCGAAGACATTTCAAGCGCTCCGCACATCTGCGAGGACCAAAATCCTCACCTCAGCGAAACAGCCGCATCATGTTTTACCAAGACCCTTTCTTGCTGTACCAACAGACGCCGTTCTGCCACGGGAACTCGAGCGCGCGTAACCCACAGAACCGATCGTCATTCCGGATCGACGATATTTTGGTTCCCCGTCAACCCTTCCTTGTGCCGAAACAGCCCAGCTTTCAGGAGCCCAGATCTTCCGCTCCAAACGCCAACCCTTTAAAGTTTGGGATGCACTCCATTCTCACGCAGAGGCAAAGAGATGACGTGCCGATGTTTCAAGGTGGGCTACTTTAGACCATGCCTCTATTTTGCACGCCAAAATTTCATTGCGAACCCATTTGGCCTCAAAATCAAACACATTTTCTTCATACTTTCAACTTTTGTTGTAGTTTCTCTACGATTTTGCACCATGCCAAGTTAGTTGCTTCTATAGTTTTAACTGTTGGCTTGCCAACTTGAGGAAAAATTATCCTTTCTCGTAGAAAAAGTAATAGCTATCTCACGTATCCGTTGATTTACTATGCTGTGCTTTCACCACATTGATACTGGCATTATTTCTCTCTTTGCCCCTTATCAAAAGCTTACAACGGCAGCTTAACTGTTGAACAACATCTGACAACCTCCATCTACTTCAGTGGTTCTACCACATGTTTGTTTGACTTAATTTCATGGTTTTGTATGATGAATTAGTGCTCGACATTTTTTCTGGTAAAATGAATTTGGTGAGACACCACTCGGATAGGCGTATGTGAGAAAGACACACGTTTTAAGATTTTCAGTTGTGGTTATTTTAATGTTTTGTACCAAAATTTTTTGTTTTTTCTTTCAGCCTTAATCTTAGTGTTTTCTTTGTGTTTGAAGTGGCTTAAAACACCTTTGCCAAAAACAAATCGGACATTTCGTTGCGGAGAAATTACTGGCTCAAACTATCGCGTGTTTCTTCGAGGTGACCAACTTCGCATAGACATAACATCTCTATAGCATCATTACATAGATAATCTAATGGAGCGGCAATGAACACAGGGAAAAGATCATTACGATTAAAGAGGAAATCCTCAACTGCTTTGTGGCAATTTTACAATATTGAAAAGAACACTACCATAGGAAATCCATTCTTTAGATATCAGCCATTTGGGCCAAAAAGAAAAACGAGAAAAAAAATACAAGGAAAATGGCTTGTCTCATTTATCAATCATCAAAACCCAGTTAGTTTACACCAAAATGTGACTGAGATTCAAAAGTCTACCATATGGAATCTCTTTCAGAGCCATTTTACATTCATGGTCTTCAAACTTAACCTCCAAAGTCTTTTTAAGGTCTCTGCATTAAGAACACTAGTATACTCTGCTAACCAAAGAATTCTTGTTACTTTCATTCATTGTTAAAATGGAGCTGTTAAAACCCTTGCAAAAGAAAATGTGTCTTAGTTGAATCGAAATAAGCTGATCGAAAACACTCGATGATTTAGTAATAATAAGCCAAAGAACTTTCAGTATTGTTTAGTGTTGAAAAGATTACCTAAATTTCTGTATTTCCAAGAAGTGAGATTTTTAGTGAAAAGTATTGGTAGAGCGAGGAAAACAGCTAGTTTCTCACTGACACAATGCTTTGTACATGAAGGATTTCACCTGTCTGGTGTATAATGTTACAAACGAATTTCGCTTGTTGTTTCTGTTTTATAACATAAAAGCAAGAGCGGCATTCAATTCACCGTAACAATAGATTATCCCTTTGTAAATTTCTCCTATAAAAACAACTTCTCAAGGGCTTTATGCTTCGAGAACTTGAAAAAGGAAGCAGTTCTGCCAAAAAGCTGTAAATTGAACGCGGCTTTCAAGGACTTCAATTACCGATCACTAGCTACTTGCCTTTGTTGTAACGAAGCAGCCCTTGAAATTTTGGCCGTTTGTAATCCTATGTCAACACATCTCAAGCAGTTGGTGATCCCTATTAAGCATCAACTTTCGCCATGTCTTTTTGACGTGTTAATACTTCACTTTTCTGCAGATCCCAGCCCTGAAGTTTTAAGCCAACTGCCGGTGTATTTTCGCGTGAAACCGACTCTTCGCACACCAAGCGGACGAAGATGTCGAAAATCACGCACGGTCTTCACCGATCTTCAGCTGCGCGTTTTGGAGAAAACGTTCGCGGAGCAAAAGTATTTGGACACGTCGAACCGCGCCAAGCTTGCGCAAACGCTGGGCTTGAACGAGACCCAAGTAAAGACCTGGTTTCAGAATAGAAGAATGAAGTGGAAGAAGGAATCCAGTCCCCCGAACAATCAGGAATCTTCGACGAGTAAAGGTGACGGATCGAGTGCGTCAGCTGGCAAAGAAAGATCCAACGAAAATGTCACAGATGACGGAAAAACCTCCGAGGATCAAAATGGAGAGGACGAAACTAGACGAAATTAAACTTTGTAAATATCCGCGAGAAATATCAATTTCAATTCTATTAGGATTAGCCAGGGCAAGTATGATATTGGAATTTAATTTGTTTCTTGCCAACATGCTAAATTATAAATTGAACAAAAAGTGAGAAGACCAGAGTAGCTCTCAAACAGCAATTATGTTTGGAAAATTTCAACCTCCATCACAAATGGCAGTTTATTGTAAATGTACTTGAAAACTACGTTGATGTAAATAGTCTCTCTACCATACAGTAGAACTCTGTTTGCATGTTTCTATCCACTTTCTCGTTCGTTTTTGTTATTGTGTTTGAAAAGGGCACATTGCAAATGAATTAAGCTATTCCCTGTGTTGTTTTTACTTTGAAATAAGTGCGAAATGCACTGATTAGACAAGCGGAAAAGTGCTTGAAAGTTCGATTTATTTAAGAGCGGCGAAGAGCGTTTTGTCGTGGCTGCTCATTAGAAATGTTTTTTGCACGCGGTGGAGTGACTGACAGCCAGGATGCGTTAATGGCGAAAAAAAGGCACTAATTGTCATCTATTCTGCTTTCAGGAAAACAATTAGGGCCATTTGTCATAAAATGACAACAATCTCAAGCTTTTACGAATTCACTTTTCATTTCTTACTGACAAAAGGGGGAAAATAGGGTTGGCTTTGATGGGGTATAGATTGATCAACGCTGCACTGATTCAGATCCGAAATGAAACATTTGGAAACTGATAAACTCGGATGCAAGGAGGATGGCACAGGTATAGATGACCCGATCAGAAAAAACTGAGTTTTGAGAACTAAAATAGATTAAGAACAGAAATAAATGTGTCGGAATATCGCCACCACCTTCGTAAACAGATAGTCAAGAACACCGAGATATTTTTAGTCTTAAAATGGATTGCCCACCTTCTCCGGTGTATGGGTTGACATTAGGACGACAATTTGTCTCTTTTTAAATTTCCACCTTGTCAAGTACAATTTCGTTTAAGCTTTTGAACAAATTGATCTTGTACATATCCGAGTCAATTTCGTACAAGTGCTTTTTGGACATAATAACATAAATATGATATTAACTGAACTTTGAACACGTTTCTTTGTTTGTACATCAAAGAGGAACCTTTTACGATTTAAAGGTTAAAACTTTGCTCGAGACTAAATAAAAACGTCTAAAAGCTTAAAGAACGATCGATAGATTTTGTTTTGATGGTGTTTTTCACATATTCAAAAGTTCTGCTATTGTTTGGTTATATGTCGATGGATTTTCGTCCCGTTTACAGCTCCTTCTTTACTTTTTGTCATCATGTCAGTGGACGCCATCTCTCTGTTGCATTGTTTTCCGCGTTCAGTACTGCTTTGGCGTGGTTTTCTGAAAAAAGTTTTGTCGCTTGCCTTATGAACGCAAGCAACCTTTTGTAAAACATACGATTCCCTGATAGCTGGATGTTTTATATTTAAGATTACTCATGTTGTCGCTCAAGGCCCTTCTCATATATTGTTTGCATGTGGTACATGTGATGATGCCAGCTATTTGTGTTTTCTTGTTGCTCTATTGAAACGTTTTATCAACCACGCCAAGTCGAATTGGAGTATAGCCAAGAAACATTACAAATTCTTCAATGTAAGCGCAATCGGCATCAGAACCGTTTCGCACTGGTCATAAATGAATATTGTTAGCAGTGTTTGTTTTGCTTTTTTCTTTTTTGTAAGCGTCGTGATTGGCTCAATCATGATAAAAGAGGTGTCAGGGATCTAGCCAATCAACGCGAAGACGTCGTCTTGTCGACCAATAAGAGGCCGAAAACCTTGGTCTTTTCCCCGCTTTTCGCGGCTTTCCAATCGCGATAAATGAATTGCATTTTCTGGCCTGGGCTTTTTCTTTGACCCGTTATATGTCTTAGAAAAAATATCATTGGAAACGACCATATCTACACTTAATCCAGCAACAGATGAATTCGAAGCGACATTGTTCAAACCAGATATGCTTCTGGTTTCAATAGATGGCTGCAACTGCAAGGTTGGCAACTGGTTCAGTCTCGAGCGCAACCTTTCTAGTTTGTTAACAACGTCATCATTCAAAAATTTAAATTCTCCTGTTACTCCTTATATTCTCCTTTTATTCAATGCGGTGACTCCTTCGCACAATCTCGTTGCTTTCCACCCGCCCTGTCTGAGTTTCAGGTTATGCTGAGGCTACTGAAGAACTGAAAGGACAGAAGGATTCTCTATAATTTGCTATCATTTGTTTAGACTACACCAGAAGAATCTTGCTTTTTGTATCTTAAAATGAAGCCCTATGGTGCGAGAGCATTAAGGATAACGCAACTTTATGACACATCACAAAAGACGCTTAGAGGAGCTCAGTCATGGTTTGCGCATATTGAAAAGTTTAGCCTCAAGTTTTCAAATTCGTCGTTTGTAATCCGTGTTAATCTTCTCCATCCTTAGCCATCCTTGTTCCTTTATGGTTTATCATTATGTCTTTGGTGTTTTTCTATCTTATTGAACTGTTATTCTCAGGTTTCGTACCATTTAAAGGCACTTTCGTATGTGGCCAAAATAACTCAAAATACCGTGACTGAGCTCCTTTAACATCGCTTAGCATCGAAGCCGTTACAGCGGCCTCCTTAAAAGCAATCCCAGTTGTATACTATTAGCTACTTATACTCCCGACGATACGCTCTAATTCCTTAGTTTCTATTTTTATGAACAAATATTACTTCTATGACGATTAAAAATCATAAATTACATTGGTATCCTGCCAAAATGTTATTAGTCTTGACTGGAATATCGTGAATATATTGTGAAAATTTTTAGGAACAGATTACAAGTCAACCATCCACAGAGGAAATCGACATGGTGTTGACTGAACATTAAGCTGAACTATAGTGAGCTCTCTCTCTTTCTCTCTCGGGGGCGGAAACCTTTGGGAGTAGCTCTAGCTGACCGCATTAAAGAGAGGTAGGCGTCTGCCTAAACTGTTTTGTTGCACAGAAACCAGTGATATTCAGCAGGGACAAGCGAGACAAAAATGTATGCCTAAGGGAGGTGTCAGCCGGTGTCTGCTTGGTGGGAATTTATAACTATAGCTTTACTGGCTTCGATTGTCAAACCTATTATTATGTATACTGCAACCTTTTACAATGACAACTACAATCTGAACGCTAAAGCGCGATTAGCGATTAAAGCTGGTCTTGTATTAAATGAAATCAGTGCAATATAAAACTTGTTGTCACTCTTAGAAGGTGAAAAGCGCAGAGTGTTATGTAGAACTAATTCCCCAATGTCGCCAAATATAAGTTTCCGTGGCATAGCAGCCACCATGCTCAGGTTTTGAAAGAAGAGCCCATATTCAAACTGGGCAGTAAAAATTTTACCGTAATGATAAGGTTTTGACAGTGTTCACTCGTAGTCAGGTCACAGCACTGACCGAAAATTAAAAAAAGCGACCGGTACAGCATCTGACTGAGTTATACTTCTGTTTGGAGTTTTAGAACTGAAAAGCTTTGTTCCTAAAAATTAGACCTCGCTATGGTAATGAACCACTAGAAATACGTTGTTTGAATGGCCTCACGCAGCAACTATCGTGTCGTCTGTTTGTCAGTCCTACCTTGGATGTTTCGGCGCGGGCTCTGTATTGGGCGCTAGTGGAGTATCGTTCTGTTGACTCCTGTTCAGTCTTTGCATAAATCGTGGGAATAAGGTCTATTGCGTAACGAAACTGAATAAGAAGATAACGGCCGCGCCGAGTCGAGTTCGACCATCTGCGCCGAATCCCATGAACACGGTAACAATTGAAAACTCAACCTCCTAAACTTAAGCAATAAGAGTATCACGTGACTAGCTCTCGGCTATCTGACTTGTATCGCAATATTGAGGAAGGTTTATTTTTGTCCGGGTACCATAGACGCGGGTGGACAAGGAAGGGAGGAACGAAACCAAATGGGGGAAGTCGACACGGTTCATTTCACGGAATTTTAGCGCGTTCATCGTGGACCCATCACGCACTCAATTTAGCACAATCGCGTGTCCCAGATACTATGTAACCAATGGCGGCTTCTTTGCAGCCAACTGATATACAATGATGCGTCAAAAACACACCCACAAGAAAATCCGTTTCGTTCCCTTTCCAATGTCAACTTTAAAAGTCACGTCCTTTTTTCAGTATACTGATTCAGTCGTGACTTCCTGTTTTCTTAGGGCTGAACCTGAAATAACTGAAAAATGAGGACACATTGACGCCTCAAGAGGCTATCTAAACCAACTGATTGAAAACACAAATATTAGCTGAAAGGTCGTCTTCTATATTTTTAGCAGTTGACTTCATTTCAAGCTCAAGTTAAGATTCACTTCTAATTAAGCCTCGCCCATCTGGTAACAGAAGGTTTTGAGAAAATACTGCAAGTTTACACTGCTTGAGGAAGAATATCTAATCGATTTTCCAGAAAACGTTTGTGTGAGTCCCCTCATCGGGAGAAAAGTTCGATGCTTCCATTATGACATGGCCTGTGAGCAAGCTCCCTCAGTTGTCAGCTGTTGGAGTACTCTGAGATCGAGAGCATGCTCGCAGGTTTACAACCATAGAAATACTATGATCTTTGTTAAGAGTTCATTAAGAGAAATAAAAGCTCATGCCCGTAACTTTGAAAGGTTTAATGACTGGAAAACCCTTTTACGAGGTTACTTTGCACGAGGATGATGTTTCTGTTACAGCTATCTTGTGTTTACTATGTAAAACGAGTATTTTGTGACAAGGAATAGACGGACTAGGAAAAGTAGGACTACAGATTTTCGATAACTTGCTGCATTACAATCGCTTGATAAATGGATCCTCAATGATTTCACAACTAGCTCGCCAAAGCGACCAAGGCACATATTTATCTTTTGACTCATGTGTCGCGTTGTTGAACACAAGTTTCTCAGGGTTTTTTTTTTATTTCATTACTACCTCAACTGGTGTCTACATTGTTTTACAGGCTACTAATTACTTTAGACATGTCAAGTCGTAAGATAGGGTGCGACATGCAAGTTTACAGGAGCTTTTTAACACAAAGGATAGCTCTAATCCCGTAAAAACTTTCACAGGCTTCCTCCAACAAAAGACGAGCCAGTCTTAGCCAGTCGTTGTTGACTGTTGTAGAGTAACAAGATACTCTGTTTTCTTTGCGCTCTCAGTTGGTCTCTTCATGTAAATATTTAAAAACATTTAAGGCAAAATCTGGCGTTAAGTGATGTTTAAAAAATGTGAACTATTTCGGGCAGTGTTGTAAGGTGGTGATTGGAGCTGCTGTAATTGTGTTATTTTGTGCGTGTGATGAATGGATGAATATAGCCTACTGACATTGATAACTTCTATGCAAACTTCCTTTGTGAAATCTTTGTAATCGATAGATGACTTCGCCTTTGGTCCAATTTTCTTTCCTCGGCTTCCGCCCCTTATCTTATCTGCGGTTAGAAAAAACGTGAGCCTACAAAAGAACACACCGTGTGCTACCTCCTCGTGCGGTGAAATCTAAGAAAAAACTGACACACGAGTAAGCACATATCGATCTTTGCGTGTAGTTGGCCTTAAACGACCTTGGATGCTAGGCTTTGAAGAGATATAGGGAGTACCATTAAAATCGTTATATATGTAAAACACATCTTCGTGTGGTGAAATCTAAGAGAACTTTGACACACGAATAAGAACATATCGGTCCTTACGTGAGGTTTGCCCAAGACGACCTTGGTTGGAAGGTTTTAAGAGTTATAGCGAGTGTTATTGAAATTTTAATATATGTAAAACACATCTTCGTGCGGTGAAATCTAAGAGAACATTGACGCACGAGTAGGAAAAAAATCAATCGTGTCGTGAGGTTTGCCTTATACGATTTGGCTGCGTAGTCTTTCAAGGGATATATTTTCAATCTAGTGTAAAAAAAAACTAAAAAGGGAGCAAAAGATTTATACATAACCTTGAGTTGTATAGCTCTGTTATAAGCTTTGCTCAGTGAGGAAAGTGAGATTAATTTAGCGCAACACAACTAAAATGTCTGATTTCGTTAATTTCACACTGATGTTTTCATGTTGTCAGAAATCTAGATATGTACTTGATAAATCTACTTTTCAAATGGTCTCATCGGTTTAGCCTTCCTTTGTTAAGTGATCAAAGTTCTGCTGATCGCTTTGAAATCAAACACGTCTAATTCAAGACTTACAAACAAATCACCCTTGTGGGTTTTCGAACCTTTTAGCAAACACGCATTTCATAGAGTACGCTTGTCGCCATTTATCTATGGCAGGCTTAGTCGATCGAGCCAGGACCAAACCGGAAAATATATAACGTGGATGAATGCATTTTAGTGCTTTGATTTAAGGTGACATGTAGAAACATCTATCAATAAAGCTGAGTAGTAATTCTTTAATGTGGACAACAGAATACCAGATTATTTCCCTGATATAGCTCATATATGACAATCACCGAGTTCCGATTCGTTTTCTTAAAGTAGTGCGATAATATCTTTTAATGTAACGAGCTAAATTACGGAAGAAGATTTGATGTCAGTTACTTTTTATTTCAAATTTGAGATACGATCAGCTCACCGTCTTCAAAGCACGGTTGAAAGAGATTTAGAAGAAGAATTAAAGAAGTGTTGCTGACTGATTTTCCTCTTTCAAACTTCAAATGACTTTGAACAAAAACCGCTAAAAGTGTTGCAACGTATAGCAAAGCAACAATTGTGATCATGACTTATCGGCAAGTTTGACAAAAGCTTGAACACCTCCGATAAAGACTCTTTTAGCCTTCATCTCGTTTGCTGTAAAATCTCATGAATATTAAAACAAGACTGGTATGTTTTATTTGATATTACACACGCTCTAACTACACAAAACGTTGGCGCAAAGTAAATCTACATGGCCAAATTAATTTACCTCTAAAATGCTTTCACGCAAAGAGTACACCAGCCTTCGCACCTTGTTACAAAGAGCAACACCCTACACTTTGTAGGCTTTGTGCACGGTTCGCTTGGGCGCCGAGACTAAAACAAAATGACTTCAAAATTGTTACCCTGCTTGCATTGTTGCTGAGAAGATTTGAAATTCCGACGTGTTGTTTACTCAACGTGTGTAGAAGTCATTTTTTTTTTTTAGTTCTCGCTCTTTCGGTTTCTTCTCTTTATTATCAAACTCCGTACCAACCAAGTGCTGTTACTCGCGATTCCATTGTTGTAAGTACTAATTGAATTCTACCTTCGATTATCTTGCGATAATGGATTATAATTGACACTCTTTCCGAGTTTATTATAAACACTAATTGAATAACGACCACAATTAATTTGGGTGGTAATGTAAAGTAGTATAATAAAAACCTCTATCATCTGACCTTGAACCTCGCGGCACTTTTAAAGTGTCAATGAAAAGAAAACTTCAGATCCGTTTCGTAATTACATACGACATGAGGTTGGTTGCTTGTAAATGCCTTTAATAAACGTCAAAACGGCCTTTTATTTGAACGAGATACTTTTCAAACCTGTCAATCAACACAAAGGTGTTTTTCATGGCATTTTCTAAACCCTTGACAATAAAGATATTCATTTGCCAACGATAGCTGCTACTTTCAACGTTAAAGCACCCGGGCATCGCGTCAAGGCCAGTTATCGAAATGTACACTAGGTACCAAGATTCGTTCCTGTTTTATCAGAATCCTCAATACATGCAGAACAATCCCCTGTTACTGTCGCCTCCTCCGCATTACACTTCTCATTTTCTGACGGAGGAGAGCAGGATTTGTAACCCGTCACAGCCGTGTTTTATGGCCAAACAAACTGGTCCGTATACCCAACAAGAGACATTCACCTCGAGCGGGGGCCCTCAACTGCCATTAAACTACACAACAGACCCAAGAACGCTGCTGCCTACCTCCACGAGCAAGCTGAGCATTCCTGGTAAGTTCACTTTCGATTCTTTAGTAGTTTTCTACATCTCTTTGACAGACAGGTTACCACTTAAATATTTTTCTCAAGTGCTAACTCCGTAACGACTTAAGAGTCGTTTGCGATCGGACTTCAGTTTATTTGTGGTTTATCAAGAGCTCGTTAAATTTCGATCTTGTCACGAGAGCTGCAGAGCGCGCAGTAAAACTACGTATTAATCGTCTATTAAACTGCCGCTGCCTGATTATCCTGCGACATCTTGTTAACTTCCTAATACCTAAGCCATATTTAGCGCGTGTGAATCGTGTCAACACTAATTTTGGCTCAGCATGAAATCGAAAATGGCGACTCAATTTGGTCAGCGCAGATATGATTTAATTTCGCAGAATTCGAGACAAATGAAAAACGGTTTCTTGTAATGTCGTCATCGGCATAAATCACTAAAATATCACGATAATAAAAGGGAGCTTTGCATAAAAGATTTAATTTTCTTGTCTAAAGGAGATCACAGTCATCTCGGTTAAAAGATTTCTGACATTTTGAAACTTTCTGCCTTTTTGATCTTTGTAACATTAGAAATCCGCTTTGCCAAATGAAGGAAGAATTGCGATAGTAATCGAAATGTACAGGCGATCATGAACGTAAATGGAAAATATCTTACACTGAACTTTATTCAGATAGGAACCCATTAAAAAGCTTACTTAAATAGTTGAAATATTTAAGTAAGCCTTTAAATAGGTTCTTAGCTGTTAGTGGCTTCCAAAGACTGATCTATACACAAAGAGGTTTGATAGGATTTACTTCGTATATCAATGAACCTTTCATGCTTTTTTCTTTTATTGTAGACCCTCCCTCCAGCTCGGATATCATACATCATCCACTTCCCGTGTACTTCCGTGTAAAGCCAGCTCTTCGCACCCCAAGCGGGAAGAGATGTCGCAAATCGCGCACAGTTTTCACGGATCTTCAGTTGCGTGTCCTGGAGAAAACCTTTTCAGAGCAGAGGTATTTAGATTCGACAAATCGCGCCAAATTATCGCATATCCTGGGCTTGAACGAAGCGCAGGTGAAGACCTGGTTCCAGAACAGAAGGATGAAGTGGAAAAAGAAAGTAGCGAAAAATGACAAGCCTGATAGCTCGACTACGAGTAAAAAAGCAGAGAAAAGCGACTCAGCTGTTGGGAAAAACAACAAAGAAACAGCCACAAATGAGAGGGAAAAGACTTCAAACTAATTGAACAATTCGATACATTGAACTGAAAGAGGAACAAAAGTCGTAACTTTACCGTTTGTAAGATCATTTATTGTAACTAATTAGCAATCAGAAAACAGATACTTGTGTAACTTAAGGCTTGATAGTGTTAATTTGACGGAAGTTTATGGAGACGCTGGGGAATTGGGAAAAGCAAAGTTACATTTTAAAACCAGATAAGAAATTATCATTCAAACTAATCGGCGAAAGAGGAGAAAAGAACAATTTTCTTTATCTCCGCTGGCGGGCTTTGTCTTTCATCTTTAAAACGCAAACAATTTAGACACTTTATTCAGATCATGCTCGTCACAGTCATGAAGGAAGGAAAGTTTTAATAAATTTTTAGCTTGACGTTGTAACGCATTTATCAGCTTTTTCTTGATCATGATAAATCGCTTTTTTTTCGTGTGCTAGTAAATTTAGCTGTCGTTTGAACATAACTGATCTTGTAAGAGTGAGCCGCGCGGCAAGGAAAATGTTTTAAAGTATTTGTAAATATCAACTTTAGCATTTCCTGATCTAGTAAAATACACAAATCACGATGTAATTTACGGCTGTAAAAAGTCGGCATGTATCTGTTGAACATACAAAAGAAAACCATGGAAAACTCAGTAATCTTGTGCTCAGAGGATGTCATAACACCGAACTCCTTTCTTCCAGTCGATCTTTTCATAAAAAGAGCAACTAGAGAGATCAGTGCCAATATGTCGAAGGTGACACACGGCGATCCTATTTTGTTACAGCTGGAGCGAGGGTTTAAATGAAGCTCAGAGAAGCGTTTATTCGCGTAATGGACTCTTTGTTTACCAGAAGGATACAAAAAATGGTTGCCCGCCGCCATTCTTTAGAAGTTAATAAAGCAATTTTCTAACATGTGTGTTGGGCCTTCGATGTTCCCACGTCGACAGAGGCGCATTGAAAACTCGTCGAAAAATAATTAAAATCTTTCTGCATTTGCTAGCGAGTTGATAATTTTCTGTCCTTGATGAAAAGGACTCTCTTTAGCTTCGTTTGCTCGGAATTTGTTCGAGAACTACAGAGAGCTATTCAACATGTGTTCGTTGTTTTCAGTTGGGAAAAAGAGTCCGTAGAGCACACAAACTCCTTGTCAGCATAAAGCATGTGTTGTGGAATAGAGTAAATCTAATGTTCCCTGGGTGATATACACGACCTGGATTATGGCATTTATTAACCTTTTGTGCGGATATGACAGGAAAAATCCCGTGTTGACTTAAAGCATAAATGCAGTTTCAATGGAAGCTGCGCTTTCGAAATTCTTCCAACGGGTAGATTGCCAATTGAGTTTCACTTTCGACTCCTCACACAACGGTTCGCCTCAATTCAATCGCTGTTTCGAGCTAACCTGATCTAGAACACGAGTTGAAATGCTCAAATCAACCTGAGTGCAATATCATTTCCTTCGATTATCTCTCCGTTTAAAGGGATTTCTAGGTCTTAGAAAACTTTGAAAATTAGCATGAGTGTGTACTGAGTTCTACACAATGGACGCAAAAACCACAACACACGCGAAACCTTTGCCACAAAGGTCACGTCAACAAGAGAAATCAGTTTTTTTTTTTTTTATATAAAAAATTCCGCTTTCTTTGTAAGCTGAATTCTAATTAAGCAGGTGTGTTTTTCTTTCAGGGAAAAAGATGTCCTTTACAGACGTTTTGAACATCCACCCAATTTCCCTAAGAGAGTGTGGGTTTTTTTTCAAACTGAGAATAAGCTTTGTCTGTTGAAATTGCTGTTATTAGAACTCCGCCTCGCGACCATCTCATTCAATTCAAACGATCATTTTCTTTAGACGTAAAAACACGTAACAGTTGATCTTTTTCCTGGTAGGGTAAAAAGAAACAAAAAAGAAAGGAAAAAAAAAAAGAAAAGAAAGGGAGAAAGAAAGAAAGAGAGAGAAAGCAGAATTAAATAATCGCGCGTGGTTCGGGACTGGGACTCTATGACTATCCTAACTCCCAGTTCTTCTTCAGGCTCGGTCACACAAGATTCCTAACCGCTTCTACTGTATGTACTACCGATACTGTGAACCTTCTAAATTTCTTACAAATGTAGAAAGCTACTTTCATCAAGTGCCGATATAGCTCAGTTGGGAGAGCGTCACACTGAAGATCTGAAGGTCCCTGGTTCAAATCCGGAGAACTCGCATGAGTTCTAAATAATCCCGGGTCTCGGCATATCTTTTACAGAATGATTTTGCTCGTTTGCTTTTTCTGCCAGTTATATTTAATGAAACACTTTTTCGAAGAAAACCTTCAAATCAGTGCGTTATTTTATTTATTTATTTTTTTTTTTTACTGAAGTGATATTTTAAACTTAATATTTCTTGGTAGAGAGTAAATTTTTCCAATTCTCTTTACAGTTGTGCTGGAGAACTCGCATGAGTTCTGAATAATCCCGAGTCTCGGCAACGTTTTTTTTTTTTCAAGATATAAACCAGTTCAAAAATAGTGGGCCAAAAGCTAACCCGGGTTGGTACTTTCAGTCAAATAACCATGTTGTTTCGTGTGTGTTTTTTTTTTTTTGGTTTGTACATCAGGACCTCCCACAATTCAGTTATACTTTCAAGTCGTTTTGTTTGTCATCTTCCTAGCCGGCCATGTTTTCAGTTTTTGATCGGTAGCCTGAAAGGCTGGTCTGGGTCAGGCTCGAAGCAAACCACACGCTATTGCAGACTGACAACCCGGGTTGAAGTAGCCTGCAGTGCAGGCGTCTTATTGGCGCGAGTTAGCGTTACAACCTTGCGACCGCCTTTTTAGACCGCCATGTTAGACCGCCATGTTAGACGGTGGGGGATGGGGGAGNAAAATTCAAGATGGCGGCTAAACTTTTTACGATGTGAGCGCTCGCTCGAAAAAATTTCGCCTGCTCTGCAGGCTAGGATTGAAGTAAAGTGTTAGCATTCTCTGCGGTGATTCAATCCGCGGAAAAAAAGCAACCCGGGGTCGTGTAAAGAGGGCCTTATGTCCTTCCCAAGCTGGCGGATAGTTCTTGTAAACTAATGATGTCAGTTCTTGTCACTTATCATAGTTACCGAGTCACTTTGTAAATATTTCATCACTGCCGAGATAGCTCAGTTGGGAGAGCGTCAGACTGAAGATCTGATCATGAAGGTCCCTGGTTCAAATCCGGAGAACTCTCATGAGTTCTGAATTATCCCGGGTCTCGGCAATTTTTTTTCGAGATGTAAAACCAGTTCAAATATGTAAAGATTGCTTATAAACTCTTAACGTAATGGTATTAAGTATCGAAGTTTTGAGACTATTCTCTCCCATTACAAAGGTAATTTTGTGAATTTTTTTGGGTCGGGTAGCAGCCCTCGTGATGTCTCACATGAATTGCTTGATACCTTTTGAGAGGACAAAGGAACAAGCAACAGAAACAATGCCCCTAGCCGCGCCCCAAAACAATAACAGCTGCTAACAATGAGAAGAATTCCAAGCTTACGACAGTTACTACACTTCTGAATTTTTTTAACTTTGTGATAGTATTTGCAAATTTTTACAATCTCAAATTCGCTTTGGTCTTTACCAAGGTATATAGTATAAGTATTCTTGAGGCATCCTTCTCACTTGTTATAGTTACAGTGGTGATTCGAAAGGCATTTATCCTTGCCGAGATAGCTCAGTTGGGAGAGCGTCAGACTGAAGATCTGAAGGTCCCTGGTTCAAATCCCGCGAACTCGTGTGAATTCTGAATAATCCCGGGTCTCGGCAAGAACTTTTTTTCGATTTTTATTTTAATACCTGTTCGGATACGGGCAGTTTTGTCATTGTACTCATTAAAATGTTTTGATTTACATTGTAATATAATACATTCACAACCATGTGCTTCTGTCTTTTCTTATAGTGTTAGTTTGCGTGGATATCATTATTTCTTGGATAGTGTGACCCATATTGCTGTAATCAAGCCGTTCTGACAGCCAAGATAGCTCACTGGGAGAGCGTCCCTGGTTCAGATCCGGAGAGTTCGCATGAGGTTTGAAAGGATCTGACTCTCTGCAATTTTCGTCCATCTTTAAAACCAACTGAGTAAAAACGCAGAGATTTTTTCTCAATTTTTAGTTGAAGTATCGCAGTGTTTGGTAACAATTTTCGTCCAAAATCTTTAATACCAAGACAATTTTGTTGTTAATTTCTTTTTTTTTTAACTTTGTGATTGTAATTGCTAATTTTTGCTATTTTTCCCTTTGGTCTTGCCAAGATACATAGCCTTGCAAATTCATGATATATTCTTGTCACTTGTTATGGTTAAAGTAAATTCAAAAAGACCTCATCAAGTGCCGAGATAGCTCAGTTGGGAGAGCGTCAGACTGAAGATCTGAAGGTCCCTGGTGCAAATCCGAAGAACTCGCATGAGTTCTGAATAATCCCGGGTCTCGGCAATTTTTTTTTTCAAAATGTAGCACCAGTTCAAGTATGTAAAGATTGCTTATAAACTCTTAACGTAATGATATAAAGTATCGAGGTTTTGGTACTATTCTCTCCCATAACAAAAGTAATTTTGTGAATTTTTTTGGGTCGGTTAGCAGCTCTCGTAAAGTCTGACATGAATTGCTTGATACCCTTTGAGAGGACAAAGGAACAAACAACAGAAACAATGCCCCTAGCCGCGCCCCAAA